GAATTGAGATAAAATATGCGCTTTATAGATCTTTCTCCTTTCAAAAACCCCCATCACGTCCCCCATAAAAAAATGTCAATAATAATACTATTGCCCCTGATAATAAGAAAACTAGTCTATCGCTTTTACTTGCTAGTATAGATATGATAGTTTATACTGCCATTTTTTATTGACGTCTAACAATAAAATACTGTTGTTATCTCAAATTATATGTTAACTTTTGTTTTGTCTTTGGGGAGCCAGTTTCTTAAAAAAAACTGAAGCAAAACTTAAGTAAAAAATTTGTCTTAAGTCAAAGTTTTTAGCTAAGTATGTTTCTCAAACAGTACTTAACTTAAGTCACCTTTCAATCTCACTTAAGTTGTCACTTAAACGTTTAAGTAGAAAATTGTTTAAATTTTGTAACTTCTTTATTTGAAGTCTGTAATCCATCCAACCCATCATAATATTAGACTGAACACAATTTTTCAGAGATTTAGTGTACAAAATTGCTGTAAAATAATCTAAATTGTCTAAAATACGAATGGTTTTTACTGCACGATCTCTGCCTGACTTAAGCGTTTTTAAGAAACGCACTTAAGTCAAAACTTAAGTTTTGACTTAAGTGCGACTTAATTTTTAACTTAAGATTCGACTTACGTTGAAAACTTAAGTGTTTTATTCGAAACGCATCTCTGGTATCGATTGCAGCAAAAGAACAGAGACCTAGTCAAGCAACAGAAGGATTTGTATCATCTGGTATCATAATTGGAATGTGTCGATATTTTAAATACGATTTTTAGGTTTAGAACATATTTACCAATACAATGGCGAGAAAAAAATCATGAAAATCTAAAAGAATAGCATAAAAGTTATATGAACACACTATTGCCTACTATTTACAATTAATCTATACCATAGAACTGTAGTATGTCACCGACTATTGGCAATCAATGGAAGAACTCAAGCTAAATTTATTATTCAGAAAGAAGAAATAAAAATGTCTTGTATAGTCAAGAATAAAAATAAATAAATGATAACCATTGGTCTTGCTAAAATCAGATTGATCACAAATGAACAGTATGTTCAATACAACTACAAACACATGATTGTCATTTATTTTACCAGTTATTTTATCAAATTTATTCTAGATATATTCATCAGTCCATGTCAAAGTAACTTCTTCAAATATTTCATAAAGGATAAACAAAACTGATATGAGATTTACCTACAGGTGTGCAACGTATAAGAAATATTCCATTATTTAGTTATAATCTAAATAACTAAGTATACACGAAGATGAAATATCTGAAATATTAAGATCTAATAAATATAGACTTAATAATAGAACATTAACCACATATGTATTATTTTTTATTCGAGATGATGCAATTGCAAAACAAATTTGGCGCTTAGTTAGCTACTATTGAATGAATGATTGCTCAAATGCCTTTTCATTAGAATATTTGAGACGTTGTTGTATAGACACCAATCACAAGGCATCATCAACTGATAGAAATTGATGAAATCTTTCTACCTTATTTATTTATTTAGCTTTAATGTATAGTAATGGATCAGTTGCTTGTTCAATTGCATTTTAAAGCATTAAAATTGATTGTCCTTTTAGAGTAAATCAAACATTTATTATTCATTTCCAACGCAAATTGTATATAATTTCAGCACAACAGACGAAAACTGAATCTCTGAAACACCCAGATCTAGAAAACTAACTTCGTGGATTGGATTCAATTACAAAACTTTCTGTAAAAAAATTCAATTACATAAAGCAAAGTTATGTGCACAAAACAAGACATTTCTGACCTTAGCGTCATAATTTGTCAAACCCTATTCAATAAACGAACAGCTAAGATCATCAAAAATTAGTGAAACAGTAAAAATGCTATTGAAGTCTATTGTAAGTTGATTGAAGTTTGTTGAAAAAACATCGGGGAGAGCTTGAAGACATTTCGTTTTATTCATAAATGTTTACATTATTTGACTCATTTGTTCGCATAGTGTGTCTAATCAAGTCACTAATCAATGTCTAATCATCACTAACCAATCAGAGACTTGATTCTTTAGAAATCCAATTTTTCAACAATTGTGATGGGCTTTTCACACACAACCGTTCACATTGTCAACTCTTCTAGCTACATTCTGGATTTCTCTTAGCTATCGTGATTGAAAAAAAACTCAAAAATATAATAGATAGGTTAATAGTTTTGGATCTTGCATGTAGACATTTTCAGGATGTTCGCTTGTATCGGAAATAAATAAAGCGGATTTAAATGATCAACTGAATTTCTTAAGTAAATAAAGTAAAAATCTGGCTGGGCAAAAGTTTTTTGCTCGTACCCATAGCTTTATCGAAGGTGCTTGCCTGTGTCCATCCGTGGATTTTTTTCGCTGTCCGTGCAGAAAAAACATTTTTTTTCTCTGATGTGCACAGACGTGGTGCCATTTTGTTAAACCCGTGCCCGTCAAAGAGAGCAGTTGCCCGTCCATGTCTTTTCCGAGCCTTTTCGTGCCCGCAACCACGGGAATTCCCATACCCGTGTGCAGATCTCTAAAATAAAGGTCTATTTTCTAAATAACACAAAGATCAATAGATTTTTTAATTTGTATTCTCTTTAAATTAATATCAAATTGTTCTCCACTAAATACAAACTTTGTTTTCTTTTAAATACTTATCTATAGTTTATTGGTAATAAACAGACATTGTTTCATCCACTACTGGAGGCCATCTATTATTTTCTGGAATAACGGTGAAGTGAGCAAACATTTTCTTCAGATATGCAGTTGACTACGACGTATAGAAAATGTTAAGTATTTTAATTAGGCAAATTTTTTAAATATAAAATCCTCAACATTTCAGTATAAAACAGGTGAAGTTTTTAATGAAACCAACAGTTTCTTCAATTTTAGAACACCTTCCTATTCATACTAAGGTCTTTATGACATTAAATAAAAGAAAAATGTGGGATGCAAAATATGATTGATAGTTATCTTTCTTATTTTGTTGCTATCACTTTCTATAATAATGGCAGCTATTGATGTCAAAACTAAAAGCAGAGGACATAAAAGTAGCGATAAGCGAAATTGCAATCGTATTTTAAATCGAATGACGGTGAAGCTTCCCAATTTAATGCGATGGCAGATGTTCCCAGTTGTTCTTGTATTCATAAACACTTGATATTCTCCCAGATAGACAAAGCAGAACGGTATCTCGGTACCACAACTTTTAAACGATAGAATTGTCTTGGATGAATACGGTAAACGGTAATTGAAAGAACTCTTTTTTTTTTTTGTAGATCTGACTGATTCACCTGATGTTCAAAGAGAGAAAATATACTGTAAAATTCTTGAATTTATAAGCAAATAATTTTGAATCCTATTATATTCTCAATGTTCGTTGATAAGATTGACTTGTGTTTGTTTATATCGTATTTTTCGAACTTTTGTCTTATTACAATAATAAACATAGTAGGAAAAAAGTAAAAAATAGAAACGACTCTCGATAGAACATACAAAAACCAAAGCGAAAGAATTAAAGTCTATATAGATGTATGCAGTTCATATTTTTTAACAATCTAAAAAGTCCGATGCTACTAATAATTCTAGGACAACTTGTGTATCAATAGGAAATTCTGGTATATCAATGGATGAATTTGTATATTTAGCTCGATAAGATAAATATCGACAAACATGAATTAGTACATGTGATGGTATATCTTTTAAATAAATTTCATTCATTTGTGAATCAGAATATTGTCCTGGACCCGATAACATATTTTTAATTGTCGGTGATGCATTTATTGCGAAATCACGTCGGACAACAAAGTCATGGTTATCGCTAGATATCAATTTTAAATACATCGATTCGGGACCTAAAAGAAGGTCTGATAGTTGTCAAATAAAACATCTCGTTTAGATTTAAAAAAATGCCGCCTGTATAGAACGAAAATAAAAAGAAAGAAAGAATACCCTACACTTGTAGCTACTGTTATCTGTACAAGATGCCGCAGGTAAATATCAGTTCTAATAATTCGACATCTTCTCTACGCTTAACATGCTTCTGACATGATTACCCATATCGTTACTAGCCATTCATTGCAGCTTTAATCAGAAGACTAGCCTGATGCAGAGTTCTTTTCATTCGATTGCTTGAGTTTCCCATACACACTCACTAATTACATACTAGCTTTCCAGAAAGTCACTAAATCTAATCAGAAGAACTGTGTCGCACACCACAACGCAATGCTTATGGTATCGGACGGGAAGATGCGAGGCATTAAGACAAAAGGTAACTTGCCCATGATTATTATACGACTTGATAGTGCTAAGGTTCGAATGCAATATCTCTGAAGCATGTGATAAACATTAAAATCACCAAGCTTTGAAAGAAAACCGACCGTTTGTGCATACCTTCTAATCCTCCATAGACCGGTGGTACATTTACAGCTGTTGTTGGTGATGATGAAACGTTTGTATCTGGCATAATGAATAACAGAAAAACGAATAAATACACTTAGTACTTAGAAAGAAAAATAATTTCTATTGAAGAAAATCTAAAAGATAAAAAACAACAACATATCTGTAGTATACTTGACTATTATTTATCCTAATTTTAATTACCAGTCAACTTGGAAATAGATTAAAGTCTATATTAATGTGACATGAAAAAAACCTATTTTAGAAGTGTACAATTAACTTCTCTATCTTTAAAAACATTATTTCACTAAAGAATATAAATTTAATTTTAAAGCATTTTTGCTATTCCGTTTGTTCTTCGAGCTACAAAATAGTAGTTTCTCTCTATATGCTAAACAAATAATACATTCTCCACTTTAGTCAAACCAGAAATTTAAAAACGAATTTTGATCCAGTAGTTTATACTTGAGTAATTTCTATTCCCATTGTACTACTGCTGTTATTGAATATATGAATAAAGAATATTTCGAGTTTTAATAAATCAATATCAAAAGTTTTTTTTTCATTTTATTCTTTTAAATAATTTTATTATTTACTCATGTCATAAAAAACAATCAAACTTTATCTAGTGTTTCTTACGGCGAGCAGAAACGATTTATTCCTTACACTTTGTCTGATCACAGTTTTAGAATCTGCTGTTTGAATCCTTCCATCATCATTGATAAAACTTTAGCTACAAGTACTCATAAAGACGATTGATTGGAAAAATAAACTCAGAATATTGTCACAGTAGAGAAGAAAACAAAATTGCTTGATGAAATATTACAAATACCAAAACGATTTCAAGTCGTTGTACCAAATTAATATCAATCACGTATTAATCAATTTCCAGTCAGGTCGAGTCTCCCTATTTGTCTTTTAGTCCTTTACAGCTCATTCAACCCCCATCTGATGAAAAAATTGATGAATATTTTGCGATCATCAATATTTATTAAATAGTGTACCATATTTCTAATTTTTCCTCACAATAGGCTCAAAGAGTCTTAGGGCTTTCTCTGTCAAGTACGCAATTTTTGTTAGATAAAGGATAAACGATTGGGAAAAAAATGTCTAGACTTTTATTTTGAAAATATTAAGAATATATATTTTATTTTTTATTTTCATTTTCTGACAAATATTCTTTTTCTACTTCAAACATTTAACCCTGCTGATCGATACTTAAAACCTATTATGTGAGTGAGATAGGACTAAAAACTCGAAGCAATTAAATATTATTCTTTAGGAAAAATCGTTTTCAGTGTCTGTGTTCATGCCATCAAATTCGTTCAATGAAACTAGTAAAAAAAAAAAGAATATATATATTTTTTTTGTTTCTTTATTATAATATTTATATTTTTATTCCAATCAAAAGAGAAAAAAAAAATCCGACACTGAGAGAAAAAAAAGTTTCATTTTTACAGAAAATGAACAAAAAAAAAAAGATCTTTTTTTGTAGGTCTGGTTGAGAAATAGAAAGAACATAGCATTTTATGTGTGTTTCCTCTAAATATATATATATATATATCTGTGTGTGAGAAAAAAAGAAGAAAAAAAATTACATCTATTTTCAGTAGTAATACTTAGGCATCGGAAAGGACAAAGAAAAAAACAACGAATACAAATAATAACATCACTGTTCGATGTTTGTTGTTCTTTTTTTGTTCTTATGGGATGCGCGCGCAAGATGAGAACAACCTGTGCTAGTTAAATTAGAGAGAGAGAGAGAGAGAGAAAGAGGAGAACAACAAGAACTAAAATTAAAATAGACAAACAAACACACACACACACACACAAAGATAAAAAGAACTATTCAGTTATGTCTTGAAGAAAAAAAGAAAAACGAAATAAATAAAAAATAGACTACTGTCATAAAAATATTTGCCTAAAAAAAAAACATTTATCAAAACTACTTTCTAAGAATGAAATCAAGACATTAGAATTCATTTCGATTATGCAATACTAAGATTTTCTAACTTATTGGAAAAAATCTTTTTTAACTGATAGAATTGAGATAAAATATGCGCTTTATAGATCTTTCTCCTTTCAAAAACCCCCATCACGTCCCCCATAAAAAAATGTCAATAATAATACTATTGCCCCTGATAATAAGAAAACTAGTCTATCGCTTTTTGCAAAATTCGAACTACCACTACACACTATGTTCTTCATTCTGATTATTGTAGCTTGACACCTTCATTAAAAGAATGAAAGCAGAGTACAGAGATTAAGTAAGCAAGATATTTGTCTAGACTATAGAGAAGAGAATAAAACAACACAATAACCGAAATTAAACTTTTATCTTATGCCTATTTCCTACAATTCAAGTGAATTATAAATAACTGATTGTTCATTTGTTAATATAAAATTTCATTAGTTGTTTTAGATAGATGAGGCAGTGTCTGGCTACTAATAAACTGTTTATTCTATTAATCGAATATATTTTTTAGCAGCTTAACCGAAAATCAAAAACTAATTTTGTTGCACAATTATAAATAAATTCTTCTAAATCACTCCTCGTTTCTATCGATTCTCTACTCTTTTTTTTTTTAAATGATAGAATACATGATATTGATTAGATATATAAAAAAAAAAAAAGACGAAAAAAAAAAAGCAAGCGACTAGAAAAAAAAATGGGGCACCGATGAGGGTTTTTTTTTTACAACGAAGAAAAAAAAAAAAATTTTTTAAAAAATGAAAAGGGAGAGAATACATACGCAAACACACAGACATCTTGCCATTGTCACTGTTTTAGGTATTATGCAAAAATCCGATCTATTTGTTGTGTATATATTTATATATATATATATATATATGTGCGTATGTCAACTGATATGTATAGAGCGCGGAGAACAAAAGAGAGAGAGATTTTTGTTGCCGGTCGTGAAATTGATGAGAACAAGACGAAAGTAAAAACATCACCGAGCAAAAAACGCAAAAAAATATTTATTAAAATGACTAGAATATGAAAGAGAAAGAAAAAGAGAAGAAAAAAAAAACGCGAGGGCAAAAATTTATTACACACCAACACACAAAACAAATATGAGGAGAAAAAAAATGCGCTTGTGCACATGAATTTTTCTGTTTTGTCTTTCTCAGAACCAGCTGAAAGAAAAACATGAAAAAAAAAAGAAAAATAAAATAGACTAAATTATAGTGAGTGAATGAATGTGAATAAGCAATAAACTGTTCTTAACACTTTGAATCATCATCAACATCAGGAAAATACACGGATGGTTCAGTATTACGACGTTTTATTTTACTTTTACGTTTACGTAACATTGTGGCCTAGAATGATAGAATTTGAATACAAACAGCGTATAAAAATAGAATTATTTAAATAGGAATTTAGATTAGTAATTATGACTGTGCATGAATCACGGATTATGAAAGATTTCATCAACATCATATTTCTCAATTTTGAAAGCAAAGAGTCGAAATGTATGTTAATAAGAGAAAATTTTCTATTCTGTCGAAACATCAAGATCGATATTTAATTTAAAAACAAAAAATCTAATGATGACATACTTTTAATGCTGATCTAATTATTGTGATGTCACATGGCGGTTGAAGCCACGGTTCTCCATCGACTTGAACAGGTACTGGATAATCGTTATTCATACGAATATGAACCTGAAACAATTCGATAAAGGTTGATTATTAAAACACTATGATTTCATTATTTTTAAGTAAAAAATGATGCATTACATGTCCTCCTTGAGCTAATCTAACGGCTGATCTAATTCCTGATTGTATCTGTCCCATATGTACAATTCCCGTTACACCACAAACTTCTAACATGCCATCATAATGTGTTGGACGTGAAAATTTGTCATCTTTTTCGTGTCCCCATAAATTTGCTCCACTAGCCCAGCTAAAATGATAGACGCGTATGAAAAACAAAACATTAAGCTATGCAAAGAGAATAAAAATAGTCCAAACTGACCTTAGAATATTTAATATTACGATGCCTTCTAATGATGGTAAATCAATTCGTTTTCCGTCTACTTCCAAAATAATATCGCGTGTAAAATCTTTTAGACCGCCTTTTTTCATTATTTTTCGTAATCCAGTTTTGAAATAATAACCTTTGGCTTGGATACTAAACATAAAAATATTTAATATTGTTTAAAAAATTATGTTCTATTAGAATTTACCGGCTATTAAATTTATTTGGATTTTCTTCTCTAGCCATATGAAAATCTAGACATATATCGGCATCTAAACCAAGTCCAAAGTAATTGTTCATCACAAACATTTCTGTTTTATCTTCATTTGTTGTTCCTTCCTATAGATTAGTATAATATAAAAACAAGTTAATTTAACATGAATTAAAATTAAGATTATCGCTAAAAAAAAAATGGGGTATGGGGTGCGTGCATTATGTCAACTACGATATACTATTCATTATTAAGTTAGTCACGTGCCGGTAGTTTTAATCGACGATTTGTCTTCGCCATATTTTTGCTTACCGGATCTCGTTTTTCTTGATCTTGATGAAAGACAACTGTCCATCTAGAAATAAACAAATATAATGAGTCTATTATATTGCAAGTGACTAAGATATTCTTTTAACTTACCTATCAAGTTTAATTTCTTCAGCTTCAACAATATCCCTGAGCAATGATATCGGTTCTTCACCGCCCGTATAACCCGATCCCCACCGTAATACACGAGCCAAATCGTTTCCTAAATATGTAGACAAATTTAAATTGCTTGAAACTATGCACGTAAAAATATTACAAATAGTTCAATATTCAATCATCACTAATGTGATGTAACGTTATTGAAACCAAGAGAAAAGCATGAAACTTTTTCTTTCAAAAAATAAAAGACTTTTATTCATGGTCAAATGTGAATGAAAAAAATAACTGTCGTTGTTCTGTTGCTTACCTGTTCCTAAGGGAACAATACCGACCGGCGGCGATTGGCACAATGCATCTTGTCCAACATTATCTAAACAACTTAATACCCATCCAACAGTACCTGAAAAAATTCAAAAGTATGTGTTTATATGTATTTTTATGTGTCATGCACCGTTGTTCTATTACCATCTCCACCACATGCCAATATTCGATAATGAGGAATATTTCGAAATACATACAATCTATAAAATATTATAAATAAATGAAAAGAAATATTAGAGAAATATGTAGAGAATAAACATACCCAGGCAATGGTCCTCCATTTTGTAAATCAAATACTTGATGTGGATTTAATAAATGTCTAAAATTTGTTATCAATTCACTTCCTTGTTGACCGCCCGATTTAACATTAACAAATACGAGTAATGGCGTCACATTTGGAGGCATTATTTGCGGCTAAAATTATATAATAAATAAAATATAATTCATTATTTTTATTATTTAATTATTTAATATACTTGTATATTCGGCAACATTAGCACCATTAATGGTTTATTGTCATACATTCCTCTTCGTAATTCTGAATAGGCTTTAGTCGCTTTTTCACTATCATTATATACTAGAACCATTGCTCCATGTTCATAATAAATAACTTCCATATTATCCCATTTTAATTCTTTATTTGACTTTAATACATCTGTAAACAGAATACGATCATATTGACGTTCAGTACGTAGACCCGTTGGTAAATTTCCAACAAATAATGAAACAGATGGGCCATGAGGATCTTCTTTATGTTGTAAATAAAAACGAGTAACACGATGACTACGAACGGATTCCTAGAAATAAACAATTCGAATTAAGCTAAACAAAGCTTTTATTCTAAAAATTATATAATTTGTTCTCTTCAAATTTAAAAAAAAAAATATTCTATCATTTACTAATTTATAAAAACTGTCCACCGTTCGATTAATTCTATATAATGTAAATTGAAAATAACTATTCTTTCAACAGCATTTTAACCTACTTGTCTTTGTTGTTTGAGTACAAATAACGGACATTCATGTTCTTCTAAAACTCGATCAGTGTATGTGTAGTTAATATTTGAGATTAATAATACTTCGACTAATGAATAATTTTCAGGTATTGCACCCTATAAACAAAATGTAACATAGATATTGATAAGTACAAGATTGTAGAATTAAATATAGAATGTTTGTTGTGTCTAGGGATGATTATTACCGAGAATTTTCTTCTCTAACCATTTGGAAACGATTTTTCAATGAAAATCACCATTTTCTTGCCAGAAGAAGGTACTATCTTTTTCTCAATCATATATTCTTTAAGAACTTTTTTTTTCGATAACTTATGCTTTTAAAATAGAAGAGAGGCAAAAGTTTATCAAGAAGAAAAAGATCAACTATTTCTTATGCAAAATCAAATAACATCACCAGCAAAAATTAAATAAATTCAGCTGCTACAATATTAATAAATTTTTCTATTTAAAAGCAATTCTAAACGAACTGCAGTAAGCATTCAGTTTTACTTTTAATAAAAACAGAGTTAAAAAATTATTTTACTTTTTTGTTTCTCTATTTGGTCAGTTGATAATCTGAAAGAATATTTAATAAAAATTATGAACTACTACAGAAAATGTGTATTTTCATAATTATTAGTTTTCTTCATACACTTTTTTAAATGACATCATAAACGCAAAACATAAAAATAATAGAATATTTTCGTAAAAGTACATATAACTTTATTCATCTCACAATTCTTCATACGAAAATATTCTATGTTAAAGAAACTTAGAAAATTATTGTCATTTTTATCACTTTTGCTGCAAGATTGTTTTAAAAATATTTCAGATTTAATTTCGAGAAAATATTTTTCGATTTTATACGTCTCAATGTAAATACGACTGTATCATAGTGTTTAACTATAGAAACTTACGTGTAGTCCAAATTTTTCTAATGCTTTTCCTACAACTTCTTTTGTTGTTGTTTCAGAGTCAATTATTATCGTTTTAAAACAATCATTTGTTTTACAACTAAACAAAAAGAAAACTTATATAATAATCAATATAAATAGATTGAAAAAAGATATTCTTACTTCAATATTCCTGGATAAACTCGAACAAAATAAGGATCGTTATCTGTTTCACGATAACGTATGAATACATGACGTTTAGAATTTAATTGTCTAATAGATTTCAATGGATTATTTTCATCGATTGCATGATCTTTGCCATCTAGACAAATATCGAAAAAAAATAATAGTTGAAAATTTATAAATAGATATAAGGCAGTAATGTGAGCATTTGAAAATAAATTATGTAATAGATGGAAGGAAAAATCAAAAATCAGTTATTTGACTTTCTATTAGTCTTGAATCTGATAAAAGAATTATTTTGTCAGACTAAGTCTTTTACAAGCTTCAAGTCAATCTTTTTTTTACATTTTTGAATAAGATACATACTGTCTGATTCAATAGGAACAGTTATACAATATTTATTTGAATCATCGTTAATATGGAATGTACGTAATGCGGCCTCCTATAATAAAAATGTTGAAATTTGTTTTAAAAAAAAAAGACTTTTTATAGGTAAATAAATTTACCAATATTTGTTTATAACTGGTCACTTTTGGTACTGATATAGCTCTTGGTGTATTTTCACGATATGCTGCATTACCATCAAATACTTTTATTATTTCTAAAGAAAAACAATACAAAATATATTATTCATATTGATTATTATTTTTTATTATTAACTATATGTAATATACCTCTTTCTTCTTCTTCATCTGGTGCTTTTGATGATTTATCTCGTCGTTTAGATGATGGTTGTGAATTTGGTGCTATTAGACTAGGTGGTTGTGGTTGTGAAGGCGGCTCAGGTGCAATGTAAGTAGTAGAAGGATTATTCACAGATGTGCCACTTGGATTCGACGCTTGATCCTCTTTATCAGCAGAGTTATAATCTTGAGATATACTGCGTACTAAAAATAAAAACAAAAAAGAATGCAAATCATTGCAGAAAAGAAGACAAACAAAAAAAAAAAACATGACGATGAGATAGGAGGGTAAAAAGCCACTTTTACTTCAAATATTTAATTATTTACTGATTTATTTTAATAGTATTAAAATCATGCGTCTACTTTTTCTAGTAAATTGAAAGTGGATTATAAATGTTTCTTACTATTGACTTTTTCCTTCATATTATTTATGGGAATTAGCAGGAATAAAGATTACAATACAAACAAGACAACACGACAATAACATTTTTATGCACAACATGCTTTATCATTTAAAAAATAACGGGAGGCAGGCAGGCACTAAATATGTGTATGTGTGTGTGTGATCAATGGAGCAGCAAATAGACTAGCAACTAGTTGTTGTTTTTTTTAATGATTTTTACCCCTGTATATTGATCGATGTTCCCGTTGTGTTTTTTTTCGTGGTAATACAAATGATGATTGTCGCTGTATGCGACGATATAAATTATTTTTTTTCGCTTTTTCTATTTTACTTGGAGATTGAGGTGGCATATCGTTATAACTATGTACAGCAGTTAATGCTGTATGCTGATGCTGACCACTAGTACTACTCGTTGAGAAAAAAAAACTACTACTGCTGGATGCACCCACTGACATTGTTGATGGAGAACATGAAGAAACTGAAATAAGAATTAAGATAAAACAATATGTAAAAAAATATATATTTATTGGATAACGCTAGAGAAACGCCGAAAAGGACAGAAACTATACTGTTGTTATAAACTATTATTTTTTAAATATTTCTATGAAGAATAATAAACTGTTAAAACATAGAAATTTGAAAATTAAATTGGATATTCCCTGACTTAGACTTAAACTACATATTATATTTTAATTAATTCATTGAGAAAAATGAAAACACTAATTTTAACCAATACTATCGTGATTTTAAATATTTTTATAACGATAAGAGTAAGGTCTGTGAAGATGAGCAAACGGTACATGCTTAAGTACGTGCATTTTACATCGTGCTATGCCGTCCTAGAATAAGTGATAAGTGCCGTCTTTTCATTTAGGGTGGTTTATGTGTATTACAAAATAGTGTGTGAATTTTGTACGGAATGTGAAACACGAAGAAGTAAACATTAATAAGAGACAACAGGACATATAGATGTGGATAGAGGAAACCGATATAAATACATATCACCTCCTGGACCGGCAAATGATATGGCTGGCACTTCATTGTATCGCCGAACTAATCCAATTCCCAAAATAGATTCTTTATTTAAATCGCTCCGAGGTATACTAATTGCATATGGAGGTATAATAATATCCCGTAATGTACCAAAATTACAATCTTCAGGAACTTTTGAACGACATGTACTATGGGTCTATAAACAAAAGAAAATTATAAGTAAATAATAAGTAAACAGAGAGATTATTTGAAATACTTACTGTTATTCCACACCATTCACATCTCATACCCGCGAGACATTCACTAGACCAACATGTTTTTCTGCACACTGCACATTTGGAATTTGTTGGCAAATTACCTTCACGCCAATGCTGATGATGACGCACAGTTGTCTGGAAAAGAAATAGCAAATAGACAAATACTTTCGATTAGTCAACCATTCATAATAGTCAAATTTACTCAAAATTAAATATTATAGATTTTGTCTACTATTTTTCTTTAGTGGAAACTTTCAATCAAAATCTATACGTACATTGTCTCTCTTTGGAACATAAGTGGCTGTTTCTCGACAATCATTAACAGCAAAATCTTTACAATCTTCATGAGCATAATATTCACATACTAAAATTAAATAAATAAATTAGAAAAATATTCAATTAATATATCAAAATGAATAATGGGATGTTAATGTTTAGTTAGTCTTAAGTTCTTCTGCATTAAAAAATTACATAACTAAAGAACTCTGTCTATCATAACACACTTGATAGAGCAGCAAATGCAAGAAAGATTAATATCAATCTTTATTAGTCGATTATAGTTTATATCAAAAAATTATGAGTGATTGTTTAGTAGAACAGTTAGAATCAAGAAAATCTACTCAATTGTTTTAGTATAATATTATGAGTTGTGCATTTTAATCTCTTATACTTGCAAAAAAGCAAAACATAAAATGCAGCATTATAAATCCCAGAAAAAACATGGTAATTTACTTACTCAACACTAAATGCTAAGTAAAAACAAAATAAAATCTGTCTGTATCTACATTAGATCGAAAAACAAAGCAATACAACAGCTAAACGAATTGTACTTACTTTCACATCGTACAGCCGAAAAATCTTCTAAACGTTTCCGACATACATTACAAAATTTACGTTTGAAACGACTAACATCAGACCATATGTGACAAACAGGATTCTGAAAAATGATTAAACAAACAAATCAAAAAGTGATCAAAAGAGAGATTTTATAGGCAGACATAAAAGTATCTTGATATGTCCAAAAATGACTTAAACAACACCAAATTGTTGATTAAATACGTGACAACAGGTACTCTTTATTGTATCTATTCAAATATTCTCTTACAATAATCTAGTAAAAAATTTAGAAAATGTACGGAATTCTCGAAACAAAATTGATGGATAGTTAGCAAGAAGATACTATTACTTTTTAACAACGATAAAATCGGGTTAAAGGTTTATCGATAGTTAGACGAAAACATACTCTTGACAAAGTCTTATAATTTTTAGTAGTCATATAACTTTAAAAGAGAACTGTCAAAATAAAGTAAAGTTATCACTTACTTTGATCAGAATCGGGGCAATACTAGAACATGGTGATATAACGTGTTTTCTACATCTGTCATGACAAATAAAATTGCAAACTAAAAATACAACGACAAAAAAACATATGTAGTCTTATACTTCCTAAGAGTGAAAAGGACGTAGATAGCAGCAAATGTCAAGTCATTTCGTTAATTAGACAAAATACATACCTTCACAATAATAACCTTGTCCAATAAGCCCCCATAACATTTCTACACAATGATGACAATAAGTTGGTTTATGAAATGTTTTTTTAACAAAAAAGTGTCCATGGCCTTCTTGGTAATTATCATGATTACTATGAGGTCCCGAGTCTATAATACTGGTTCCCAATCCTGTTCCTGTATGTGAATGATCATTCATATTACCATCACTGTCAAGATTGTCTGTATTAATCAATGGGTCATCTGGAATCATGGGAGGATAACACATATGCGACAAATTGGTTACCTCTTGCTGCTCTGTACTGTCGGTACCCGTGACAAGTCGCAATGTGCTACGAAATGTTTCATGAATTAGGGAGGTACTAGTCGTTGTTGGCGAATTGTGAGAATAAAAAGTTGGTGGAGACGATGTTGTTTGTAATTTATTTTGATTTGACGTCGGATTTTGATTGTTTATAGCTACGATCGGTGTTGACGGTATTTTATTTGTTAAACGGTTAGTAGGATTATGGGTTGTTGTTGATGTTGGAGGCCAATCGGCCATACAATAATAAACTACTACAGAACTAGTCTACTTATTAATTACGTCTGAATAACTTCGTTGTTTATTAATTTGTCTTGGCTCCACCATCTCATTTTTGTTGTTGTTCTTCAGTTTTTTTTAACAGAACATCTTCATCATCATGAAGTTGAACCAAATAAAACATTAATTTATTTTTTGTGTTTCGTTCGTTTGTTTTTTCGATCTATTTTTTTGGGATTATAATTTTATTTCATTTCGAGTGTACAAACGGCAGCCATGATATGGAACGTGGTATATCGAACTTACGAATGATGTTATTTACTTGGTTTAAAATCTGTTCGGTTCATTAAAGCAAAATAAACTGAAAAAACAGTAGAAGAATTTGGCAAACAACAAATAACTGACTTGATTTTCGCTGTCTAAAAGAGAATGAAACATTAAACTCATAAAGTTGCATACACAGGCCGTTCATAACGCACTAATGCAGACATGTGACATATAACGACTGAGTTTAATCAAGTTGAAGCAGTCTGGAAGACCTAAACTACATTGCGTTTTGAATAAAATATATTTAGACATATTTCTGTACTTTTTGAAGGTAAAGGATATTCCATTATTGTGTATGGTAAAAGTTGCAAAATTAAGCGCATATGTGATCTCCAACAGTTGAGATCTATGAAGTTAAAGTTATATCCAAAGTCAAGCGTAAAACTCTCCAACGACGTAAAAAGATTATTGTAAAAGACTATGGTACCAATACATTTTTAGTATCTCAATCTCTCGCACTTCAGTCCTTCTCGATAAATGATTGATATTGTGTGAAACAACAATTAGACAGTTAATTCTACTCATGACCACGTTGGTTCCTAAAACGACCAGTTACGCTTATTCTACACGTGGCTAGAATGAAGTTTGCTGGCTACGTTGTTTCTACAATCAGTTGATTCAATACAGTGTTGTTAATGATGAGTATCAGAGTGCGTTTAGAATGTCAGCAGCATCTGCATATTTTATTTGACACAGGAAAAAATGTTGCTTTATAAATGCATCCTTAATCGTAAGTGTGAATAATCATAGATAAACAAGAACAGAGGATGAAAAACAAATAAGCAAAGAGAGTGAGTTAGAAGACAGGCAACAGTCTTAATCAGAGTTACCGAAATTAAGACTGCTGCTACTGGTAGCTTACAAGTGTACTTTGCTTGTTTATCAAAGAATAGAAATGCAATGTAATGTAAACTAAACAGGCACTCAGTTTCACGCTTAGAATGGCAAGCAATTATTTCTGCTTGGTTAATCGTAAGATTATATGTTGAGTGAGCTGCATTGAACGCGTTTGCATATCCACCTCGATAGAGGAATTGAACAATTTCTATGGTTTTGAATATTTGTAATTTTTCTGAGTAAGAAAATTTGGATTAACTTATGTTCCTTTTATGAAGAAATTTCATTTGTCATTGAACGTTTCCCTGGGAACGACCTTGATGTGTGTATACTTATTTTCTCATTCTAGATGTAGTCAAAGGCTAAAATTTTGTTTGTTTTATTCTAGATCGATAATGATGAACTAGCAGAGAAAAAGCCGTAACCATCGTCGAATTTTTTGTATGTTTTTTTTCCCAACATAATCCCCGTCATCAAAAATAGCATAGCAAGGTGGATCAAAAATGATAAAGTCGAATCAACCAAGATACAATTACAGTCACATGCGTAATTAGAACTATTTCATATTAACAACCGACCACCATTTTCAACATCACAGCGCAAACAACGGACATAACAACTTCAAATGTCCGTGATATTTGAACACGATTATAATGCGCTTAGTTAAATACGAACAAGTGATCGTGCTAGATTGATGATGAATCCGTTAGAAACGTTATTGAATGTTCTCTCGTTGATATAAGAAGATAAGATGTCAAAGTTGAGATTGAACTGTTAAACTCTTTTTCAGTTTCTAGTACTCGATGTCATCAGATCACTGCTAAAGTATTCCAGTTATGGAATGACTCAGAAGAACATCTTTATTTGGCATGGATAAAATCTATTATGAGATGTTTCCGAAGAGTCCAAATCGGAACAGCTAAATCACTTCATGATTATGATGTGAATAAAGCAGGAAGACGAGAACTTGTTCTATGTTTACTAGGTTGTTTCCGTTTTGACTTTGTAACTTGTATTTTATGTTGATGAATATGATTGTTTCATAATCGCTGTAAATAAACTATATTGATCCGCTTTTGTATGACTTAATGGTTTCTGATCTGCTGTGCTTATACTTAAGAGTCAATAGAGAAAGACTAAGCTTTCGTTTACTATTGTTCAAATGTCATTTATATGCAGTTTATAATACTCTACGAAAAACCAGTGTCGACTGATACTTCAGTTCAAATTCTCATTAGAAACACTGACTTGGTGTACGCTCAAAATATTTTTTAAACTTATAAGTATTATAACTTAGCGGTGTTTCTTTTTAGATTTAATATTTATAAAATTAAAATTTTCATCATGATCATTCGAAATGCCACTGTGAGTGTGTTATACTCTTATGATCTTTTCTTTATTTATCCTGTAATATAATTTATTTAGCCCGAAGATTTAATGAACATGCAACATTGTAATTTACTATGTTTACCTGAGAATTATCAGCTGAAGTATTATTTCTATCATGGTCTCTCTTGGCCACAATTATCTTATGTTGGCGAAGACGATAATGGAAAAATTGTTGGTTATGTATTAGCAAAAATGTAAGTTAAATTAAATCTTAACCTTTCGAGTAATGATGTTAATGTTTCATTTTTCTCTCTTACTGTTCGATAGTACTTGAATTTCTTATTAGTTTGATTCTAATATGCTCCGTAACGGAATAGAGAAAATCTATTTCATGTGATTGAAATCTTTTTTTTTGACCACTTTGACTCAATATAATCAACACTTCTTTTCGTTGTAGGGAAGATGATAATGAAGACACTGTACCACACGGACATATAACATCACTGGTAGATTCTTTTTATCTTGTTATATCTACTTTATTAGTATATTATCTGTTTTTCATTGAGGCTGTCCGCCGTAGCCATCGTCGTTTAGGTTTAGCACAAAAATTAATGGAACAAGCAAGTCGCGCAATGGTAGAAAATTTTAACGCCAAATATGTATCTTTACATGTTCGAGTTAGTAATCGAGCAGCATTACATTTATATCAAAATGCACTTGGATTCAGGTATGTTAAGGAAATAAATTTGACGGCTAAAATATTGGTTTTGTAACTATTCGAAAGAAAACTGTTGTAATTAAACTGTAGTTTTCATATAAGATACCTGCCGCCTATCGTCTTGACGACTGAGAAAAACACAGCTTTCTCAGAGCCTAGTAATTTAATTTATTGTCAAATTTTATCTCAGTTTTATTGATCTGAATGGCATACTGGTCGTTGGACTATTTTGCATTCTCTAAACTCATGAGTATTTTTTTGTACAAATGAATCTTTTGATCCAAAATTTTTCAGTATTCATGACCGTGATCCACGTTATTATGCCGATGGTGAAGATGCTTTTTCGATGAGACGCGATTTAACGCCATTAGTAAAAGTAAGTTCTATTGCTTTTTTACCATATCAAATGCTTTTTTCGTTATCGAATGATTTTCGTACTTTTAGACATGATTAACTGGAACTGAACAGAATCAGTTGTCTATCAACATTAGTTCATTATAGGATTTTATATATATTTTGGTTCTTTTGATATTGTACGATGCTTTGTTATTCTTTTAAACGTGAATAAATCAATATATGGATGTACAACACTTAGTTGTATACATGTGACAATTCATCTTCGTATAGTTGAACGAATAAAAAGCAACATTTTTACCATGGAAAGTTAGAATATTTTGTACGCTAGTCAACGATCAACTCAGCAGCTAAATCAGTTCTGCAGTTTTCCCAGGGCTAAACCAGAGTCCGAATCATCAACCTTTGTTTTCGAATGATGCTTTTGGTTGTTTATGAAAAAGTTTTCGAGAAATCCTATAAAAGACATTTTTTTAAAAATTAAGTTTGAATTCAATTCTTTAGATGTTCAAAATGAGATGTTCCGCAGCTCTGTACTCAGAGATGGGCGAGTCTGAGTCACGAATCGGACCCGGGTCGCAGTTTTCTATGACTCGAACTCGGACTCGAGATGAAAGACTCGATAAACTTGATAAACTGACTCGAGTCCCTTTCGAGTCAGTCATGTGCAACTTGGGGTTGTTATGACGGTGTTTATTATATTTGTTATATACCAGAAGAGAGAGAGATTTGAGAATATTCTAAGTAGAACATTCCGTCATATGAGAACATCGAAGATCTGTTCTTGGAAAAATGAATCAGGAGGAAGCTTTCCTCTAGAAAATGACTCGAGTCAATTTTTGATGCGACTCGGACCTCGACTCGAAGGCTACTGAATCGGACTCGAAAAAGTGGTGATTCGTCCATCTCTGTCTGTACTACCTTTTCGAGTTATGCGAATTTTACTGAAAATCCTAAACTATCACTGGGTAACTAGTGGTGTTTATTTCTCGAAATAGGGATCCAACGGAACACAGTAAGCTACTCCTATGGTTCATCACAGGATCTTGACTTTTTTTTGTTTTATAGTTATGACCTTTATCTACAAGCGTTTGTGGCGAACTCTACTGGAAGCCCCTTTTGCCCGTTGAGACGTATAACAAATAGATTATTTTCTGAGAGGGCCATTAAATATTTATAATAGTCAAGTTTATGAAATTTTTGTAAGGTGCACTTTTTATTGTTCGATTCCTCGTCGAAAACTGGGTATATCCATACCAGTTTCAGACTCTAAGACCGTAATTTGAGATTTTGGCGCTGCTCGCGATAGAAAACCCTGAAAAATGAGACCCCTCCGCCAAAAACCTATCTAGTTTTTTTGGTGAGGAGCTAACTCATTGAATTTTATGCCATTCGATAGCTCTATACTCCAGCT